CCTCAACTTGGATGACTTTGTTCCTTCTAAATGGTCCCTAAATTCTCTCAGCTGCATTTCTCTCTGCCCATTGGACATTTCTCCCAAATACCATGCTAGAACTTCAAAACAGCACGTCCAAAACAAATTCTAATCTGTCTCCTCCTGCACTTTGAAATCGGCCCCTTCTTCAGAATTCTTACTTATAGTACAAATTATATTTTGCTGATGATCCAGGATTACAACTTTGCAGTCTCCTCCCTCTGCCTCCTGTTAGCAGAGGTGGTCTTTTCCCTTAAAATCCCAGGCATACGTGGCCATTTGCATTGTCTTCTGAGGTTAGCCCTCAACTCCTCGGGACTCTGGGGGTAGCATCCTGATGGCTCACCCCACGTTCTGCCACCAAGTACACCTTTAAGCACACTTCTGATTGGGTCTCTCTGCAGAGACCTCTTCGGTGGCTTGGCGTGCCAGATCATGTGTATGTGGACTTCCTAGCCCACATTTCAGATGTTCCTCCTGTATGGAACCTATAGTTCAAGTTCTTCTGGACACTTCATCTTTCTAGGAGCATGCTCTTCACTTCGTGCCCCTGACTCTCTCAAGCTGTGGACCCCCTCCTCTCATCCCCTCCAGTAGAACACTCACCTTCCCGAAGCTTTCCTGTCGCCTCCACCGTGTACCTTCCTGCTCTTCTCTGTGGCCCCACAGGTGCTGACCACAAGACTCCTCGGTTCAAAGCCATGTCCAAGTTCTACAAATACCTGCCCAGCTCTAGAAATCTTCCAGACTTGTAGGAAACATGCATCCATGAGAGGACAAAAGATGGCACTAGGTGACCCCTCTTAGCAGCAGCTACGGATTACTAATGTTTTTGAGCCATACAAATAGTGGAATGAAATGAAAAGGGAATTAGTTGGGGTCCTTTAAAAGAAGGAGCCCCCAGTGAGCAAAAGATCAGCAGAATCTTCATCATTTTGATAGGCCAGTATTTTAAAAGGTGCTATTTCATTAAACTTGCACTTGCTGATTCTTCATATTTGGCTGATTTATACTGGCAATCAGATAACCGAAATTGTGCTTAGAATTCTGTAACTGCACATGGATGTTAATGGAAGACAAAGTGCACCAATGAGTTGATGATCACATAAATAACTTGCTGAGTTCTAGAGCCAGGGCCCCATAGGGCACCAGTAAAAACCAGGGCTCACCCCTAGGGTTGAGGTGGGCGTAGTTTGGGTAACTGAGATCTCGGTGCATTTCTGTCATCCCCTCCATGGTCCAGAAGCTCGGAGGGAAGGCCTGAGCCGGGATCTCATAAAAGCACGGTGATGGTGAGCACCCCGCAGGCAAAGGCAGGAGCATGCCTGTGATCACGCAGCTGCATTTCCCGGGCGAGAACCATGGTCCTAGGAAAGTATGGGCCAAAACGCTAGATGGTCACGATCATCTTGCTGCTATTCCTGCCAAAGACAGCCGTGCTCCCCCACAGGACCTGAGGAGCATCACTACCGGGGCACGCCCCCTCGTCGGGCCACAGATGTGCTCTTCACTAGATGTCTGGAGCACCTGCTCCACGCCTCCCTCTATGAGCCACGGCAGGGTGCTGCCCGAGAGCTCGGGGCTTGCACACAGCCCCTGGTGTGCCTCCCAGTTCCGTGGGCGTACTGGCAAGTCTCTTACCCGGGCCCCGAGTTCCTCATCTAGAAAATGAGAGGAATACGAATAGTACTGACGTCCAAGGGTTGTGGTGAGAAGTAAATCATTCCATCCCTGTGAAGGACTTCGAGATCACTGTTACTGCTGCCTGCATTTGCTAAAAGATGAGTGTATTGGCAGACTCTGGTGATAACCATCAAGGAAATAACTAGGGTGGTGTGATACAGTCACTGTGGAGATGTTTCTTAGATTAAAAATAGATTGCAGTGAATACTATGGAGAAAGTGACAAGTGCTGGTTATAACCCTGTTGCTTTTGAGGGGGTGGTTTCGGTTCCCTTCAAGGGGATGCTTTACCCGTTGGTTTTCTGCCTGAGTTAAGAGATAAGCTGGAAAGAAACACTTAAAAAGTACAGACTAAGGTCAAAAGGGAGGGTAAAGTCCTCTTTTATTGTCCTTCAAAGTGGTTTGTAGAGTTTCAGTCCATGAGCTGTTGCTCATTGGAGGCCTCACTCAGATGAAAACAGGTAAAGTAACACACATTTTAGGTTTAGGTTTGAGGTTTGGCCTCGTCTTGATATTGTTAAATAAATCAGCATCCTAGGTCTGTCCTGGACACTGTACAAACAAGTGCACTTAGGTCTCCTTCCTGCGGCCCAGGAGCTCTTGGGGGCAGTTCTCAGCTCCCAGCATGCTCCCCACCCGGAGGGGGTTGGGCAGGGTCTTTGAGGGCCTCTCCTGTCTTCCTGGGTTCCGTCCCCCATTGGAGCCTGCCAGGTCCAGAAAGTTCCCTCCAGTCTCCCAGGGGCCTGGGTACCAGGCAAAGAAACCCTTTGTTTTGTGGTGAGGCTGGGATTTCTGTACTCTCGGCTGGTGGGGCAGCGGTGTGGATGGAATTGGGGGATGGGAAGGGGTAGTGCTCTGGGCAGTTTTGTTTTGAATTTACTGAGCTCATGGTGACATTTTAAATTCTCTTCAGTTTTCTTTTTTTCCCTTTACACTATTAATCAACTTCAGGATGAAAAAGAAAAGAATCGAAACAGTAACAAAATGTAGGACAAATAACCCCTTCCCCATTCTTACTAGTCCGAGGGGACGGGGAGAACTCTTTCCTGTTTTCCTAGCCTTCCCTCAGCGACAGAGGCCTGTATGTAGGGCCCCACCTCCCAAGACACTTCTCACTTCTAGGAAATGGTCCCTCTCTGGATTTCAGTAGGAAATGCAACCACATCTGAGATTTCCTGGTGGCTGCTAGGGCCCAGGAGAGACCCACATTCCTCAGGAATTCCTCTGCAGCTCTGGCTTCCTTAGGGTGGGTGGGAGGATTCGCTGAGGAATCAGGAGTCCTCGGGATTTAGAGCTGGTTGTTAGGTTTCATTTAAAAAGATCTTTCCTCCTCCATCCTCACAACAGCAGGACTAGATTTTTGTGTTGCAATTCTTTCATTAATGAGCTTGAAAAGCTTGACTTGTGCTCACAGTAGCTGGAGGCAGAAATGTAAGATATTTGAAAAGCCAGGAAGGGCTGAATCATCTGAACATCTGAGAACCCTCCATGTGGGGGGTCGGCCCCCCCTCAGCCCTCCTACAGGAAGCAGAACCATTGAGACTGGCTCTCACATACTTCACAAAAAAAGCATACAAAATTCTAAAAACTTCAAGCAATGCAGAAGTGAGTAAAGCAGGAAATGAAAGCCTTCAGGCAGCCCCCCTCCGGGAGTCGCCCATTGTCGAGCGGGCGGGCAGCTTTCTGGTCTATTGTTAGAGTAGCTCAGCCATTCACACTCAGATTTTCAGTTGTTTTTGCAAAAGTGGCATCCAATAGAAGTCACCCTTTTCACTTGACAATGTATCAGACACTTTTCCATGCCAATGCTTGTTGATCTGAGCTTTTTAAAAATAATTGCAGAGTATTTCAATAGAACCATTATACCTTGCGGAATTTAACCAGTACCCCGGCTGATTCCCATTCTTAGCTGTTGTAACCAATACTGAAGTGAACCCAGCTGTAATCCCCTCATGTGTCTTTATACACCAACACATAAGAAAAATTCCTAGAAATCAGGTTGCCTCGTCGAGGAATAGGTTTTTTATTTTGCTAGATCCTCCCAGATGGCCTTCCAAAACAGCTGTGCTCAGGTACATTCCTCATACACTCCTCAGTCATTTGTAGAGGAATTTCTTCCACAAATCTGGTTTCTCATGATGCTCCAAAGAATCAGATAGATACCTTCAAGGGAGTTGTTCATACGCTGTTTTAACAACTGTTGTCACTGAGAAGCTGTCACCCAGGCGTGGTGCTCAACACTGGGGGTACGTTTGGGTAAGGTCTTCGCCACCTGAGAGCCTACATGCCAGTGGGGGGGTGCCTGCTGAGGTGAAAGGCGGATCAGGGGCGCCTGGGTGGCTCAGTCGGTTAAGTGGCTGCCTTTGGCTCAGGTCATGATCCCAGGGTCCTGGGACGAGCCCCACATCTCCCACTCCCCCTGCTCGAGCTCTCTCTCCGCCTGACAAATAACGGATCAGATTGTGCTGCATGTGAGATTTGTGCTGCACAGGGCCCTGACGATGCAGTGATACTGTGCCTATGACGGGTACCTCTAGAGGGAGGGTGCTCATGAGTGTTTCCCTGCCCAGGTCTTCTGCTCAAGGGAATCAGAGGAAGGCAGGAAGCGCACTGGGCACTAGAAACCTCCCCTAACTGAATCCTAAGTCAATTACTTTGGCTTACCCCAGCAGGAAAGAGCCCATGGAACTCGAAGCCTTGGGGGAGGGAGGTTGTCAAAGTGCAAATGTAAGTACTTTAAAGGGGCACCAAGGACCTTGAAAATGAGAGTATCAATTTCTACTCCCTCTATCACTACTGTTTTTTGTTTTTGTGAAGTAGGATCATGTTGATTTCACGGAGTCCGGACCTGTCCAAGGTAGGGGCCCAGACCAGAGGTTTCTGTTCTCAAATCAGTGATTCAAGAGATACTTCTTAGCATTCCTGGAAAAGAAGGGGGTGGAACCCAAAGGAGGTTTGTGGTTAAGCTGCACTCCTGAGCATTTGATAGGCCCACAGGACAAAGGAACTTCTAGATTGGCTGATTCCGTATCTGGATGGCTACAACCTCGTCTTGTTCCTTTGTGACACGAACTGCGATCTGAGCTCTCCAAAGGGCCCTTATCAGCCTTCAGGAATGCAGTGGTGAGATGTTCTGGACCTGAGGGGACCTCTAGGTACCTCGAATACCTTCCGTTTCGTACCTGCCTTTTGACTTGGCAGCTCAACCTTCTTCCTCTGCCACCATTTCCAGGGTAACAGCCACCGCCCTCATCTTGTCAAGTTACTCCAGGCGTGCTTTGTCTCTCCTCCTTACAGAGAAAAGAAGTTAAAGGTCAGAGTTCAAGAGTTGGTGAGTGCCTTGGAAAGACTCACCAAGAGCAGTGAAATCCGACACCAGCAATCGGCAGAGTTCGTGAATGACCTAAAGCGAGCCAACAGGTAAAATCTCCATTTGTGGATTTCCAGTGGTGCCTGGACTCCTACACCAGGGAGGGCATTTCCATAATTGCTGGGAACCTCACCAGCCCGCGTCCCCCCACCTCCACCCCAAGTCCTGGCCTTCCCTAAGGCATCATTTCCCAGTGTTCCATAGGAAACTAAGAAATGCTCAGTAAAGGCTTCTCCTTGGGCCAGATGTGTTTGGGAAATGCAGCATACTAAAGTCCCCTTAATTCCTACGGTAAAGGTTCTGAGAAGTTAAAAAATTAAAAAAAAAAAAAAGTAGTGTTTAAGCCAATATTTTCCAAACAAAACTGGCTATGTAACTTTTGTATGAGCAACAGCTTTTATTCATTAGTAAACTCTGGCCCCCAGTGTGGGGCTCTAATTCATGACTCCGAGGTCAAGAGTTACTCTACCAACTGAGCTGACCAGGTGACCCTATTGGTGGGACACTTTATGGGGCACTTCTGTAAGACAGCAGCCTCAAGCTTTTTGGGCTCAGGATCCCTTTATGCTCATAAAAAACTAAGGAACCCAAAGAACTTTGTTCTCATAAATTACTTAGCTTAGAAACTAAAACCGAGACAAATTTTTCTAAGTTTTTGTTTACCAAAAAAATAATAAATTCAAAATAATAGTAATAAATTGGTAACATGTAATACCATTGGCATTTATTAAAAAAACTATTTTCCAAAAAGATAGAAAAGTGGCACTGGTTTTTACAATCTGCAAATCTCTTTACTGTCTGGTTGATTCGCACCTTCACTTCTACAGGCAGTATTCTGTTGTGAAGTAAGTTGGGACACCTAGCTTCGTGTGGAGCTGAGGTAAAGGGCGTCCAAGGCCGCTCTCCCAAGAGGGTTTTGGGAATCCTAGGGAGTCGGTTTCCAGACCACACTTGGAGGACCTAACTGTACATGGAAGGAACTGGGCTGCTATTTTGGACCAGAGCAGGTATTAGGGCTTACCCAGCCCTGGGCTCGTACCCTGCTCTCCCCACCAGGCTCTCAGGGAGACAGTTCCGAGGGGCCTATGTTCTGAGGGCTGGCAGCAGGAGTTGATGGCCTTGTGCTCTGAATCCCACCAGCCCCAAGCGTAAAGAGAATTCCTCGGAGCCTCCCTCCCTCCTCCTAGGTGGGGTCTCTTAGACTGCAGGGCTTGAGAACACTCCTGGTAACTTACACTGGACCATCTGTTGCAGGCAGCCATGGAACGACACTCATTACTTGTGTTTATTTTTAAAGATTTTCTTTGTCAGAGAGAGAGAGAGCACAAGCAGGGGGAGGGGTGTGGGAGAGGGAGAAGCAGGCTCCCCGCTGAGCGGGGAGCCCGATGTGGGGCTGGATCCCAGGACCCCTGGGATCATGACCTGAGCAGAAGGCAGATGCTTAACTGACTGAGCCACCCAGGTGCCCCTCATCACTTGTATTTAAATGACAGACTTCTGAAATTCAGCTACCTTTTCTATCTTACCTATTTTGGATGTGGCTAGTCTGGGTCATTGGTTTACACCCTTCCTAACAGATTAGGGACAAGCCTCCAGCAGGGAAGCGACCTGTAGTTAAGCCAACAGGTGAATGGCCGTGAGTGCAGAATACTTGACTTCCCATTCTTTAGAGGCTGAGTGACCTCTCCAGCCCTGCTTACCCAGCAGACAGGACAAGGTGTGTCTCCACACTACTGAGCTGACTCTTCCCTCTCCTCCCTGCTCCCACACAGCAACCTGGTGGCTGCCTATGAAAAGGCCAAGAAGAAGCACCAAAACAAACTGAAGAAGTTGGAGTCTCAGATGATGGCCATGGTGGAGAGACATGAGACCCAAGTGAGGATGCTCAAGCAAAGAATAGCTCTGCTGGAGGAGGAGAACTCAAGGCCACACACCAACGAGACTTCACTTTAATTGGCACTTGGGCACCAAAGCTCTGCCTGTGGAAGCTGAACCCGAGCAGGTCACCGGGGAGAGAAGGGCCCCAGGAGACAGAGCACCTGGTGGGAGAGACAAAAGGGAAGGCCGGCAGGTAGGTCAGCACCTGCGCAATGGAGTACCATGGACCCCGCGCCGCGGACGAGTGGCCTGCTGACCCCGAGTGGACTGGAGCCAGAGGGTCCCGTTTCCTCCCCGTCTGGGCCCGGAGACAGTGTGTAAAGAGCAGGCCTTGCTTCTGCTTCCAGCGCGGGCAGCCCCCCGCCGGCCTGTTCTTTCCGGAGGCTGTGCGTCAGTGGTACCCTCGGCATGTTTTAGAAGACCGTCCGTTCTGTTTTTTTTGGTGGTGACCGGATCTCTGACATCCCCAGTTTCTCGTCTTTCTTTCTCCTTCAGGGATAAACTCTGACACATGTGGGAGTGCGGAGGGGGTGTCTTCAGCTTCTAGAACTGCTGATTTGCTTACTGCAACCAGGCTTTGGTTTTCGAGACCCACGTACCAGCTCTGAGACACAGGCTGTCGCTCAGAGGTGCTCTGAGGCGGATGACAGGCGATGGTGCGTAGGGGCCACAGTCCCCGATACACTCAAAGTTACAGGTAGAGCAACCCCAGGGCTTCGGCCTGAACAGTTCTTTTTGGGAACATGGGCACTTCTTTCACCTCTCACTGTGGAGGTAGGGCTGGGAAGGACACTTTCTTTTGACTGGGGGATTTTCCCTTCCAGTGGAGCCTTATTAAAGCCAAGACTTAGAGCTGAGGTGGTCCTGTTAATATACAGAGTGGAACTAAAATTTTATCAGGGGTTTCTTCAAGAGCAGGGGAGCACTGTTAGGACTTTTGCCCACCTGAGGGCTCTACGTAATTGCTGTTCTGCATGAATCAAAATTCATCCACAGGAATACATACATAGCTGTGGACCTGCCTCTATTTCTCTAAGGGCAAGAGGCAGGACACCAAGCAGAATGTCTTGCAGGCTGAGCCCACCTATTTAAGAGATGGCTACGGAACCATCAGTTCAAGACTTCGCTCCTGCTGTTATGAAAGGCAGGGGGTAAAGGAATGGTCCTTGGGACCTCCTTTTATCCCGCCCCCCAAAGTGGAGGTTAGTATACGGTACTTAAACAGGTTAAATTTCAAGCAAAATGCTGACAGGGCTGGGCCAGGACCAAAGTACCTGATGTCTTTCAGGAAGGCCTCCATCTTAAATTCATTATTCCATCTCCTGTCTTTCACTTCTTCTATAGTTACCCTACACTGATACACTGTAAAGGACCACCTGCCTTTCATTCTGTAGTACTTGAAGACCCACCCGAAGTCCCCTGAGAATTCTATCCCAGAGTTCACAGTTCTGTTTAGGACCAGGTCACCACCTTAGAGTTCCAACGTCCATGTTTTCAGACAACCGGATAGAAGTTCCTCAGCCGCCTTTGCCCTGGAGAAGGCCACTCCAGCCACCACCTGGAGGGCAGAGCAGTTCGAGCAGTTCTATCCCAAAAGCAACCACCCTTCTTTCTTAGGCCAGCAGTAAGGCTGCCCATCTTCCCAAAAAAGTCACCAAAAACCAAAAAAAACCGTTGCCAATCTGGAAGGACCAGCTTTTGGCTGGTTTGATCACTGTGTAAGTGCCCACCGGCTCCTGTTTCTGTTATGGATCTTCTATTTAGTCAAAGTTGGTTCTTGTGATTTATTTTTAATCAATTTTTACTCTTTGGATAAAGTTTCATTTTGTCATAAGGAAAATGTGACTGAAAAAGTTATATGCAAAAAAAAAAAAAGCTTAAAAGACAAAATACTAGTTTTCCCCATTTTTCAGTTTGCCGAGGGGAAGTATTTATGACTGAACAGACATCAAAGCAGCTTTCATCTTCACCAACACTGAAAAGTATAGCTGACACAGGAATATAATCCTGTCTGCTGACTTCTGTCTACCATTCTTGGTCGAGCTTAAAAGAAAACTCACCCTTTTAGCGTCATGTAACTCTTCCAGACCCAAGAGGTCTCAGCTCCTCCATTATAAGCCCCAGTATTACTGACCCTACCTGGCCTCCTTTCGAATTTATACTTCAATATAATACTTTTAAATATGTGGTCATTGGGTGAAAACTATTTCCCCAGAAAAACTGTTACTTTCATAAATGTGTGGAATAAAAACAAGCAATTAAATAGTTGATTTCCTTTCCTTGTATTTTTCAAATACTCCCTAACACAAGATCCTTGTTGAAGGTGAACCAACAGGCATTTGTTTATGCTAATTGTGGGGCCCACTAAAACCACATTGATTAAATAATTGCAGGTACCTGAAGACTTTTTTTTTTTTTATAACCTGAGTTTTTCTTTTTAAATAGTAGCTGGTTTATATTAACCTCTCCATCAAAGGTAAACAATGATACTGATTTAACTTGTATGAGGTTAAAAGTCTTCAGACTTCCATGTTTTTGTTTTCCACTTCCCTCAATGGTTACCTCTTTTAGGCAGTCACCTTCTCTGTTCCATCTTCGGCTCTTAGAGAAACAGGCATGGGAAGAAAGGATCCATTTCACAGTTCCCTTGGAGTGTATTTCCCACCGCTGAATTAAGGTAAAAATCATAGGCAAGAGAGACTTCGTCTGTAGCTGGAGTAGCATCAATGTGTGGGCCTACCAACTGATCTGATGTTCTGCCAAAGCCCGTCTGCACCAGCTACCAAAACTGCTATGGACTCGCAGGTGGTAAGATTCCTCTTGGAGACTTAAGATACTTAATCATAAATAACTTGGGTAATTAAGTGATCAGACAGCTGAGATTGATCAAGTCCTTTCTCCCTCTCCTGCTCCAGCCGCAGAGGTACACTAGCTGTTTCATCATTGCCAATGCAGGTAATTAACTGTTTCAGATTCACGCTCACCTACAAGCATGTCAGCTTTCTGAAGTTAACATCCAAGCTGCCCGAAACTGGAACGTTAGGTTAATAAAAAATTAAGTGCCAGTTAAACATAACTGCTTAATTCTCCTTTGAGATGCTTGCACTTGTTGCTAAGTCTTCCTCTGAGCCTGCAGCAATACTTTTACAGGGATCTCTGAGAACTTTAAATGAGAGCCTTGACATTCTGACTACTCCAGAAAGGCGTCCAAATTAGAGCCTATATGATTTCTTAAAAACTGTTAAAGTAGTAAAATCCTGACTAGCCTCATCCTAAGAAAAACTTGAAACTGTATGAAAATCTCCTAGTGCCTACCTGCATATCAATTATATTATTTTAAAAGAGAAAAACACCCCATAGTTTTACCTCATCTGGACTGTACTATGCCACTGGCATGAGTTAGGAACTTCTATAGTTGCCTGTTCCCTTCTAAAGGTGTTCTACGGCCACTAAAGTTATCCTGCAATTATTTTTAAACTCTATCAATTATCTTAAAGCTCTCAAGAGTTTGGGGTGTCATGTTCATATTTTAAGTAGTGAGAAAGACATCCAGACTACAGAAAACACCCAACGGATCCCTAAAACTTTCAAGCCATTAGCAAACGCCTAATTGGGAGTTACGTCTCCTCCATGAAACATAGCTGTACCTGTATTTCTAGATGCAGCAGAGATGGAACATTTTTGGAGGCCAAAAGGGAGAGAATTCTGATGAGTGAAATTTCTGCATTGAATTGAATTAGGGTGCAGTCACAGGGTTGCCAAGGTTTTTTTCTGCAGTGACAACTTTGTAGAACCATAGTATTAAAAAAACTCCCAAAAAAAAAAAAAAGTCCTAGAGCAAATATTTTTCTATTTATCTATGTGGAATGGCCTATTTGACAAGAAATGATACAAACTCTACTTGCTGCCCACCTGTTTTTCACTGAGGTTTATCCAAATCCTATTCTGTTTCATTGAAACCTTGTGTTTATGTAGGCCAGGCTGAAGTCAGCTATGAATCTGTGGCCTTCTGAAGTTCCCTGTTTCACACACTTGAAGTTACTTTCTAATAGATACGTGTCTTCAGCTGCCAAGCACTGACTTTTTAGAATTGGACCCAGAACTACCAAAGTAATGCTGACCGCTGCCACCGTGTCATCACTGAGCACTCGAGGGCTGTTAAAATATGAACAAGCTGAAAAGCAGCTGTACCTGCACTCTTGTTTTACCAATTCCTGTATAGAGGAAGACTGTTTCACATACAATGGTTGCATTTTTGATTGAGTTAGATTGGATAAATTCTCTATCACACTGCATCTGAGTGAGCTCTTGCATGGGACCAAGACAAGAAATCAATCTGCCCGTAACAGCAACTGCTATTGAGTAACTAGATCCTTGACTAATAGTGCTTGATTTTTCCATAGTCAAGGTTGCTACACATCACTCATCCACTGATCATCTGAAATACCAGCTTAGCAGAATGAAGAAGCAAGCTATATACAAAATTCCCTCACATTCACACCGATGACCTACTTTTAGTTAGTGCTTACTGTACCTTTCACTTCTGCACTTTCTGCAGATCAAATCCATGTGGAAAATGTTGTTCGTAGAACTCACAGAATTCACTAAGAGTGCTCGTGTCAACGACTGCCAAATGAGAGCCCCTAATAATCTGCTTTTGTTTGAACCTAATGCAAAGATGACACATGTTCTTTTCTAATCAGTTTCTAGACATATTAAGACTTATTTACTTTGCATGAGATTTAAGTTTCCTATTATTTGAAAATTGTGCTCCTTTTAAACCACTTGAATTAGAAGAACCTGCTTGAATGTACGGTCAGTTATTAAAGCACATGTGACTACGTTTGCATTCGTCAGTATTGTTCTACTGTTTGTACTGAAAGTCTCATTTTAAAGTTGCCCCTTAACACTGTACTATACCTTGTAATTTTTTAGATTCTTCACTTGTATGCTTTAAATGTTTCCAGATGCCTTTAGTTTTAGCTGCTGTAAAATAGCTACTTTGTGTTATTTGATATAGAATTGTTTAAAAAAAAACTCCATTTATTTATACAGAGACATTTATAATATTTTACAAACATTCTTATATTCTGAATAAATATTTCTAATTCCATGACGTACTTTAACTGTGTTCATTAAAGGGTGATAAGACTGTCCTTCTGCAATACTGTTGTACATGTAAATGTCCAACCTATGCTGCTTCACGTTACATTGAAAGCCCTAGTCAAAACTGGGACCCAGAAGACACTACATTAGGTCAAATCAGCCACAGAACCCTCATTTATCACCAATTTCTATTTGGCTGCCTTTTAAAATTTGGTATGAATGGAAGTTATCTATTGAGAAAAATCTTGTTTCATTTTTAAAAATCAGGGAAACAGACTATCATCAAGAACTGGAAGTGCAAGGAAGTCACACATGACTACAGGAAAGATGGCAAGCAGCTCTGCAACCCGTCTACCTGTCCACTAGAGGGACAATGTTCTGCAATGAGGGCGTCTCTCCGGACGCAAGCAAAATGTATACGTTGGTGCTCCTCTTAAGATTTTAAATAAAAATTATCATATACATGAGGTTTGTAGTGGAGAAGAATGTATTTCTCTCATTTCTCTCCCAGAAGACTGTTAAGTATTCTATTTGGAAAGCCTGGCTGGAGAACAACTGTTTAAGAAATACTGGATTGTATGTATCTAACCAATTCTGCTTTAGAGCAATAACCAAACTGTTAAGTGTTTGAGATGGAGAATACATACCAGTTCTTTATTTTCACTTTTGCAGAGACACTCTTTTAACAGTTCTTCCCATCATATAAACATACCTTTATCTCATACTTGTCATTTTTTATTGGTCCAAAGAGAGACAAAATATGAGTAAATTGGAACCTATGAAACAAGTAACAGTAGCAGAAACCAGGTTAAGGTAGTAATTAAAACTGCCTAAGCAGCAAAATTTATTGATATTGCACTACAAACAGCCTAAATTTAACACGATAATATTTTTACAGAAAGCCAATATTTGAACAATCAACTGTAAAAATGTTTTAAAATACAAAAGGAAACCTTCATTCATTCAAATTGTATTCTGTAAGATAAAATGTTTTTCATTTCTAAACTGGTGTTATTTACATCAAAAAGCTTTCAAAAAAGAATAACTGTTAAGACACAGGACTTTGTTCATTTTCTCAGGGGAGCGTACAGCTGGCATTGCTAGTCAACTCTGGCAGTATGATAATCCTGCAAACATTTAAACTCACTGGAAATTCTTAATTTATGATAGTCACACCCAATATAAGTGAGAATCAGTCCTCATCCTTCGATTAACACTGAGGGAAAGAGACAAAGCTACTGTTTAGCCAGAATGTAGTAAATCCAGAAACACCATAAATCCAATCAAAAGGTATCAATTTGTATAACAACAAGGTAAATCCCACAGCTATTTTGAGGTTCCTTTTCTGCTCTAATTGTTTGACGACTAACCAAAACAAGCACCAGGAACTTCATTACTACCACAGGCAGAATTACTCCCAATGGTTTACTTACACAGTCTTTTTCCAAACATTAAAATGCCCTAGAAGGTGAAGTCATAAAACGCTGTGATAATTAAGGCAAAAATTAAATGTTGTATCATTTCACATAAGACAAAAAGGTACTAAGAGTTTACAAATCTAGTCACATTCACTCTAAAGTCCAGTTTTCTCAACATCATATTTAGTGAAACCATTTCAATTTTTTTCTACCAGCTTTTGTAGGTCCCACATAAAATTTAACATGACTCAGCATAAATATCTTCACCTTCTTCAGACTAAAACCCTCTCCCAAGAAAACTGTTTAAAGACTACACATCTTCCTTGAACATTACCTAATCTCTGCAGCATAAAAGATACTTCAAACCCTTGTTTTGGAAGTAGTAGGATTAAAAAAGGTTAAAAAAAAAAATTCTTATTCCCTTTCCCATCCAAACTAAACTGCATGAAAGACAATCTTATATAGGATTTCACTTGTTAATACACGAACTATAATTCCATTTGATTAATCATTTTATTCTGAAATAAGACTGTTTTAAGTTTACATTAAAGCCAACACATAAACCTTTAAATCTGAATTGTATATGTCAATTACCAAAGGTGATTTTTTATAAGGTATTAAGCTAATAAACTTCAAACACAATCATAAGAAAATATATATATGTGTGTATATTACATAAATGTGTGTTATATACACAAATATATATATACAAAATAGTTCATGGTTTTATTTTCCTTCCCTGTTACTGAAGGAAAAGTCTGTAAGAAAATGGAAAGTCAGTTAGCTATCTCTTGTCCTAACTTTGAAGTGAAATATGAGCAAAAAAGTAAAATTAAAGACTCAGTTCTTCAGACACTTCTATTTGAAATTAAAAGGTACTTGTACAGCATCCAAATGCAAACCTTTAAAATGAACAACAGAGACAGCAGTGCGCTAGGACAGTAGTGAAATGCACAAAGAAACTTGTAGATATGTCTTTTGTGCTTTTCTATCAGTGCACATTATATATACAGGACATGAAGAGAGCAAGTCCACTGCTACTCATTCACTGAAAAAGTATTAACATTTAACCAAACTGCTGAGGAATAGTTACTACCTTGCTAAACTGCATTCAGTTGAGAACCTTTACTTTCATTTGCTGCCATCCATAGCTGATGCCAAAATTACCACAAAAGAATAATATAAACCAAGATATTTTACAAAGAACTAATTTCTTAAAGCTTGAGAAATGACTAAAAATGTAGATTTGTGCCCAGAATGTTTCACACCATAGTTTGTAGCTAGAGATTGTTTCAGAACCTCAGTCAATGAATTAAAAGCAGATTAAATTAAAATGTTATATTCTACCTCAGAAAGTCCACAACCTAAGACTGTTACCTAAGACCTCTCAAGGACTAAGGACTAGCAGAACACTGCCCATTTCACCCTAGAACCACAATTTTCTTTGTTCTCAATCTGATAGCTACATGCACTGAGACCCAAAACGGCACTGGTATCCACAGCCTTCCTCTCTGCTTGTGGCCCAAGGGTTGAGTGAGATCATCTCTGAAGGGTAAGATATGATCACTGCATATAAATTCCCACAGTGGCAGATTTACCATAAGGATGTAGCACAAACTATTCTTCTATAGAAGGGACAAGATACAAAGGGCGGGTGGGATAGCGGTGGGGACTCCATGGCCTCTTCCTGACTTCAGAAGCCAATAATCAAAACAACACCCAAACCCCTACAAGAGCCCTCCCACCAAAAAAGCAGCATATATATATGTTCAGGGCCTTATTCTTCCATTGGACCAAAGGACTAAAGAAATCTACTAAGAGGAGGGTCCACGTGGGACGAAGTTACAAAACAAGGTAATTGATTCCTGCATCCAATCCCTTTCCCACAAGCACCGTCGGCCAATACTACACAGCTAATGCAAGCACTCTGCGCGGGTCGATTCTTTTCAGATTGTGCTCTCAAGCCGCTACCATTGCTAAACCATCCCCTCTGCTAACCAGATTAAAGATTCAATTATAAACATCTCTCAAAATAAAACTTCCATACTTTACCATAGTTTTTATTTACATTTCTTTGTACTTTAAAGTCTGAGCAACTACGCTGGTGGAAGCCAGCCCTTCAAGTCCACTCCCATGTATGAGAGGTAGCTTTATTCTTTTCCCTAGCTTTACTGTTTCAATAGTAAATGCTGTTTGTCACAAGACAGCTCGATGGAAAGGTATGGATCACCCTTCAGAACGAATGTACAGCTACCTCATGAAGTGGCTATGTCACACACCTGACCATGGCTGGCTGTGCTCTGACTTATGTTCCTGTAAGAAAGCAGAGCACTTCAGTGTGGCTGCAGTTGTAAATTATCAGCACAGGAAGGACCAGACTCCCAAACATCGATCTTTAAAGTGAGAAAAAGTACTTCAGATTTACTGGATTGCTTGGCAACCATAAAAAAATAACAACTTTATCCAGAGCTAGAAAACACTTGGTAATGGCCACATATATTAGACACTGCTTGGCCGAGGCAATTATCATGTTTCTAGCCTAATACAACAGACAGCACTCAAGAACTGGTTTATCTTCTAAAATTTATTCCTTATACTCTCACTATAGCTATCTCCTCCCTTCAGGGCACTTTTGTTGTATAATAATAACCTATCCTATATTTTGAAACGGCAATCCAAAACTTTATTTTGAAAGCAAGGGACAGAGCCTTTATTGCCTATTTGCAATCTGCCATCTTCAGGACACCCGAGTATAAACTTCAAGAGCAACTCAATTCTAGGAAGATGCTGATGCCATCATAATCTCATTTTTAGAGTTCTCAGCAACTATACAAATACACTTTAAAGTCTTAGGACAGAATATAAAATGAGGAACTCTAGCTAGGCTTTACCAAGCTATCAGAAATAAGGTTTAACAAAACTGTTGTTTTACTAACACCTGTTTAGCCATAGAGAGATACTTAAAGGTAAAGGATATTGGTACCTTCAGACAAAGTTAAGACTTTGTCTTGCTTATCATTAATCTAAAATTACATCAATACATATGAGCCCCTTCCCCAGGCCAGAATATAATCCGAGTCAAAATCACTAAGTGACACTTTTCTTCAATCATAAAAATGTTAATGAATCTGACCTTGTAACTATGATTAATATGCAAAGAAAACACTGCCTCAGAGAACACAGAGACGTAATAGATGTCGATCAAAACAAAATCTCAACAGGCAGAGGGAGGTACTGGTACAAAAATAAAGATAAAAAGCTAAGAGAGATTATCATAGTAAGAAAAGTAACTTGGCAAAACAGTCTAATTTTTATATTGACTTTGCATACTGTTCAAGTTAACTGTTGGAAACAAACAAAAACAAAAAAGAGGGACTTAGGTAATGAAATGTTTTTAATGCGTACATGCACTTAGACCTGAACTTCTCTAAAGACCACCATAATATGTTGAGCTTTATAATAAAATTTAAATTTAATCCCTGTGGAAGGATGTCATTCACTTAAGAGTTTTTTATTTGATATTACGCACAAACTACTAAAGCCGTAAAAGACAAAGTACCAACCCAATCTTATAGCATAAAAGTATTTTTGCTATATTTTGCTATACATCTTCATTATCTGCACTTACTAATTGATATTTAATAGAAAAATAAGAATATCCAAAGCTCAAAGCAGCAAGCAGTGACCACAAATCCCTTGACAACATAGGAGACTTGCTTTTATATATTAACATGAAAATCCAACTTAAGTTTCAAACCTCTTCAAATTTCACCCATGCTAAGGGTTCTATTCAGTTTATGTCTCAGGAAGAGTGTCACTGGTTGAAATCCTAAAACCATTCATTTGCTATTTCTTAACAAAAACTTGTGAAAGCATGTAAACTATACCCCTATCTTTTGGATAACAATGGTTAAGTACAAAAAAATTCATTTAACATCTTACAAATCATTACAGTTATACATAAAAGCATCTACAAAATTTAAAAAAATAAAAGATTCACAGTGCACTGAACCTTGGAACATGTAAGGTTGGAACATAAGAACATTTAAAAAGTGGATTCAAAGACCTATTTTTCCTCTCAAAGACATAAAACACAATGAAGCCAACACAACTACTCTTCTCATCTAGCTTCTTAAAATGCAGCACACAGAAGTAAATTATTGCATATTCAGCACACTCCTTTATCACTTGATTTCTTCAAACCATGCTAAAATTTCTCAAAGGAGAAATCCAGTTCTGTGCTAAGCATGGCCTTTCTCAAGGTAACCTGAACACTGAGAAACTAATACACAGGTTCAAGGGAATAAGTATAGCAGATGTACATAAAACAGGTACATCCAACTTATACATTTTCTGCATAGTTAAGTCACATCACACACATAAACTTTAACTCACATCTTTATCTCAAACTGTCAAGAGAGCTAAAAGCCTCAAGTTACCAAAATCCCATCCCAACAATACCCTTATTTTGTTCCACAGTGCATTAAATGAAGCAGCACAACAGCAATAACATTTAACCATAGTTAAACTGCTGTAATTGAAAAGAGATAATCTGTTGGTTCTTGAAAAGGCTCAACACCTTTAGAGGACATACTTCTGGTAACTAACTATAATCTCTTTTGCTTTTGCATTAAGAGCTGAAAAACCCAACTCTAGGCACCAGAAAGATTGACCAAAATACTCAAAAAACAAAAACCACACACACACACACAAACACACACACACAAAATTACTAAAAATTATATGGTTTCCAGATGACAGTAAATGAGTGAAAATGATTTACCTGCCAGGCAAACTAAGTTTTCACTCCCTTAACAATTTAATAGAAATCTGGAATGCTGGGACCAACTATAAATATGGCTCAAGGAGACCCAAGCAAAGCAGCTGTATTTCTGGAAAGAACAGTAAGAGCTTCCAAAAGCAATCATATAACGCATTTTAAAAAAGGTCACAGAAGGATTCACAAGTTTGTCACATTAAAAGATGCAGGATTATGAATAACCTAATTTTAAACACACTGCTGTAATCGTGAATTCTCCTGCTTAGCACCAAGAGGGTGACACTTTTATTAATAAATAGAATTTCTCCTTTAAATTTAATCAAGCCATTTAAAAGCTAAAGCAAAGAAATACCAAGTGAATTCCTTACAATAGTACTTCTTCTGAAAGTCCCACTGGGTTAAATAGAACCCCTATTAAATAGGCTATCTATACAGAATAAAGATTTCTACAATAAAATTTACAAGCAGAGATATATTCTGTGGATACCACATGTAAAAAAAGATTTTTAAAACCCACATGGCAGATGCACACGCACGCATATGCTCACACATAACACGCCCAAAAGAAATACCTTCAATGAGGTCAGAAGCAGCCCCAACACTAAAGCCCCCTTTTAAAGTTCTGGCGATTGTCCTCAATTAGAGCTGAAATTCTTCTTAAAATGGGCATTGCCATCTTTATTTAGATTTAAGAATCCTGAAAGAGCAAAATACAGTCCTAGAAGTGAGTTATGTATGTTACCTTCATGTTCTGATCGTCCCCTAGTGAAATGCTTTATTTGTACTTGGGTGAACCGCATACCCCTTCCCTTCTCACTCCATCATCCAGGGGCTTCAGCATGCTCATAAAAGCATGTCAGTTTCTGCTGCTACTGCAAATTGGAACCTAATACAACATTAGTTTCCAGAGATCAACACCAAGATGCAATGTAAAACCTAATAATGTCAGTATTCCATTCATATTTACACAACTGTAATAGGGAATAAATTTTCACAGGAATGAAACCATTGTACAATACTGAAGAGCTGGTGGCAGGACAGTGAAGACAAGACCAAAGCAGCTGCCACCAAAGCAGTTGCCGGGTCCCGGCCTCCATGCTCCACGCTCCCCTCTCCCCACCACTCTCCCAGGTTTGCTGACTGCACAAGGCTCTCAACTCCAAGTCAGAGTGTACTCCCCCCACCTAACCAACTCAGTCCCTCTCCAGGCTGAGGACTTTGTCTTTTAATGAAGTGCTGTGTTCATTTTTAACATGAACATTACACAGTAGATGCTGGCTCTAAATAAACCTTTCAACAAATCTCCCAGCAGAGGAGGATTAGAGAACCCGAGTGGTTAGAAGCAGAGAAATGCGCAAAATGCCACCAAAGCAGATGACCTGTGATCTTGACTTCTGTGACATTTTTAGCTCTTGCATTCATTTATTATTTGTGAATTTTAAGTTTCTTTTAAAAACGTCAACATAAGCAAACTCTAATTGCAGTCACTGTCATGGATAGATGGAACATTCCCATTAACTTGGCTACCTGATGATGACTCAAACACTATTTTCTTGACCAGAACACGAAATAAAAATCACAATCACACAGAAAAAAATGCTCTCATAAAAAGCAACTTAAATTCGTTAGCCAAACACTGAAAAGGTATATCTGTATAAAAGGTTTTAACTGCATTTACAGTGCAAACTCATGTTTCTTTCTACTCTCTCTTCTGCAGAGAACGTTATCTTCAGAAACATCATTGCCTCCCTGCATTTCTTTAAAACACCTGAGAAAGGTAAGGCTCAAAGAGACACCCACTCAAATGCAACAGGTCTCTGATGCTGGGACTTCCACAACACATCTGCTGCTTTCAAAGGTCCAAGATTTTCATTATAGCATTATGGTCAAACTTAAAACTCAAAAAGGCTCTGGATGAAAAGGGGAACTTGCAATGACCATTACATGCCACAGACTGTCCCTCGGCATGTTCTAGCAACTGGTCTTCACCGGAGCAAGGCAAGTCATATGCAGCATCTGTTTAAATAAACAAACAAACAAACTCAGTAACTTTATAGTAAGAACTCAAATACTGCCCTTCCCACCTTTTGTTCTACAGGAATGCAGGTACAGTATATACTTTTCCTCACCACACTCTAAGTCTAACCTAAGCAGAACCGCCAAGATACTTTCCTTTCCCTAAACTGGGGCTCAACTGATTTTCTAATCTATGATTATTGATTTCCACACATTCATTCAAAATCTAATCTCAGCCTTTAAGACCCTTACTATTCACATGCTTTCAAAAATGGGCATACTTTTGTCTACCTCCCATATTTGTTTTCTGTGCCAACATAAAGGGAGCTTCTTAAAAGATCAAAATGTAAGCACTGTAGAAAAAAGAAAAAAAAAGGCAAGCACTGTAAAGATTACAACTGTAATCTAAGATTTATAAAGAGTCCAATTCTAGAAAAATAAAGATGGAGCTTACCACATCTCTAGGGAATATATTAACCTACAGAAAAATCCAAATTTTCAAAATCATGGTCCAACAAAACTCCCAACTTACCAGGGTTTTGTTTTGTTTTTTTGTTTTAAAGGTAGAACACAGACCTAACCAGGAAAGTGGATTGGGAATAGACAAAGAACCTGGGAGGTTCAGTCAATTAAGCATCTGCCTTCAGCCCAGGTCATGATCTCAGGGTTCTGGGATCAATTCCCGCTTCGGGCTCCCTGAAAAGCAGGGAGCCTGCTTCTCCCTTTCCCTCTGCCCCTCCCCCCCTGCTTGGGAGCGCTCTCTCTCTCTCCAATAAATAAATAAAATCTTAAAAAAAAAAAAAAAAAAAAAAGGCTGAGGCACAAAGAAAATCTCAAATGTTTCCCAGAACAAAAATCCTTTTATACTTCCTTTTCAAGACAAATTTTATATGTCCATACCATGCCCAACTAAGCTGGGTATATGAAGTTACAGTATACCTTCTTTTAATTTCTTCCTGAACATATGGCTTTTTAAAGATTTGTAAAGTAACTGATTTCTGAGCTTACATTAATTAAACTACCAGCCTATCATGACCCCACCAGACAACATGGCCAGAAAAATCTTATTATGGGAACTTCTACCTCCATATCTATGTATACCAAACTACTGATAGTTCCTACGACTTCATAGTTAACCTTAATTTTCCAAAATAGGGTTAAAGCATCTTTGAAAATAGCATTTATCCTGCTTAAATCATAAACAGTACTGCAAGAAAATATGCTAATGCTTCTTATTTCTTAGACTTTTCTATATGAAAGCCTTAAATTTAAATGGTGAATAATGTATATATCTACTGCATAGGGATTTCACACAATTCAAAACAGCACGTAAGAAAAGTCTACTATACTTCCAAATGACGTCTATTAAATCAGTATTACCAAATAACTCTCTACATTCATCACCACTACCTTCCAAATCAGATCACACACCTACTCTTTATAACTGACAATGGAGAAGTTCCAGATGTCATTTTAATAAAAGCTATCCATAGTGCCTCCTTAAAAAGTTGCTCATTACCTCCTAAAAGTGGGAAATGTTACCATTCTGAAGTTAGTACTCATATATATATATATATATGTATGAGAATGAGGTCTCCTCACCTTTACAATACTTGGTTCTACTCCCCTCTCACTAATAATTACTGACTTACAATGTTCACACATAGTACCAAGGTTTGACATTCACACACAAAAACAGCACACTGAAAGGGAAAATCATTTCATCTTGATCATTTAAGGTCATTTTAGCGAGTTTCATATTTAGAGAACATGACCACACATATGAACTCTACAGACATGTGCAACTCTTCCTGCTTATCTTTCACAGTCCATTATACTCTCAACTAAAATCAAGGTTAGGCCAAAACCAAATCAAATCCCACCAGAGATTTTAAAAAGAAAATGACTTGCCTGTTTCGAAATTATCCTGAAGTTTTCGTGGATGAAGTCTTTTTTCACATTTCTAAAAAAACAAACAAACAAGAAACACACAACACACCAGCTGTAGTTATTCTAATTACTATAAATGAGGAGATATATGATCAAATTTCTCAGGAAGAAAATTAAGCCAGTAATATAATCACCATCCCCAGTCTTACACTAGTATTTTTATTTTTTTAAGCCTAAAATTTTTTTAGTTCTTGATTACATGTACAATATAGAAACACCAGAAAAAGAAAATTACTCATTAAATTTCTCAACCCAAAGAAAATTAAGTATTAACATTTTGGCATATCATTGTAGCTTTTTCTCTATGAAGATACTGTAAATTTTCATATAATTACTAAAAAGTGGAATTATTTAGTACATAGGACTATTCTATAACCTACTTTTTAAAAAGATTTATTTATTTTAGAGAGAGAGAGGGGAAAAGAGTGAACGCATGCGAGTGGGGGGGAAGGGGCAGAGGGAGAGAGAGAAACTCCAGCAGACTCCCCACTGAGCATGGAGCACAAAATGGGGCTCGAGCACATGGGGCCCAATCCCACGATCCTGAGATCATGACCTGAGCTGAAATAAAGAGTTGGACAGTTGGATGCTTAACTGAGCCACCCAGGCGCCCCAATCTACTTTTTAAGTGTAATGTACTGTGAACATTTTTGTTAATATAAAACCACACCATCATTTTTAATGACTACAAGGTAGTCCATTGCACAGATCTGTAATATTGCATTTAAAATTATATTCTTGGATACTTAGACTGTTTCCATATTTTCATTATTCAAAAGAATAATGGGATGAACATTCTTTAAAATTTTCTTCTAGGGAAACAATTTAAGAACCTTTTCAGGCTTTCCATATAGTCAAGCTACTCTCTAGAAGGTTTTACCAGTTAGTTATTTTTAAGTGTTGCCAAAACACTCAACAATATACAAATGGCTCTCTTTTTACCTGTGCCAATCTGACAGGAAAAAAGTGTAATAGTAAAAGGCAAGTAATCTAACAGTAAACTGATCTTTAACATGTGTTTGCCCGTGAAATCAATACACCCCAAGTTAAGTAAACAGCAAATAGAAATTCAGGTAAAAAATTTTTGCTAAAACCTTAAAACTATTATCACCCACTATTAAAAAAGAGAAGTAGGTGAAACTACAAAAAGAAAACTCAACATACGAATACCAGGACTTACAGAAAAGATAAGCAATGGAGACCCATTAGTTATGAATTGCTACTTTCTGGAGCACAGACTAAAAGAGTGGAAGTAAATGCCTTAAAATGCTCACAGTTACCTGTCTGCAGGCCTAGTCTAAGGGTTATGGCACTGGCTTTATTTTATTTTTAATTTTCTAAATTCTATCAACTTGAAGGAAAAAAAATACACCGTGACATTCTTCCCAACTTTCAACTTTATTAAAACAATACAGACTCTATTTAGAAAAATAAAGAAAAATAGCCAAGGACTTGCTCTTTCTAGAAAGCAGAGTTGACTACACACTATTTTCGCAGTACTAAAAAATATTTAAATACGCACATAAAAAAGCAAAAATCAGATGTGCAATTGAATCAATGTGACAAACCTGTAACAGAGTAGCCAGAGATTTTAAGTGAGCAAATAATGCACAATTTCACTTCATAAAATCTTATCAATATATCAATTCAATGTGCTTTGACAATGCCCTTGCTCCACTCCTAAAAATAGGGTGAACTGCCTTCTTAGAGTTAGAGCTGTAAGTCTTACCATCAAGGGATTCTGCTGCTTGGCTGGCTGGCTGTGGACCCCGTTTGTTCTTTTCTTTTGATTAGGTGAATCCTGATACTGTTTTCTGCCATTTCCCCTCATACTTTGATTCTGTTTTTCCAATGAGAAGAAATAAAATGTAAACCTACAATATAATGTAACAGGACAAAAGCATATACCCCCAAGATTATATTTAGCTGGCTGAGTAAGAGTTTAGCAAAGTCCCCCCCAAATTTTCCTAAAGTACTAGGGAACCACATCATATATTTTCTTACAGAACATAGTGCTCACAAAACAAGATTCCTCTAAAGGTACGAAATAGCAAATATAATGGTCCCTAGGACTCTTGTCTTATCCCATTTCTGCGTACAGATTTTGTTTACAATGCATGAGTTAAAAAAATAAAAAAGGGAGGGGGAGAGAGGAACAAGTTTGAAAACCTTATGCGACTGTCAAAATAACCTTTTGTGAGGGGAATGCAAAGGTACATTGGCCACAGTTCTTAAAACAAGAAATATATAGCAGATGTGATCAACTGTTACCCTAAAATCTGCTTTAAATTATTAACAAGTAAACATTTTTAAATAAATAATCTTTTATACGAAATAAAGACTGGTATTCTTTTTTAAGATTTATTTATTTGATAGAGAGAGAGCAGAGAGAGCACAAGCAGGGGGAGATGCAGAAGGAGAGGGAGAAGCAGACTCCCCACTTAGCTGGGAGCCCAACATGGGGCTCAATCCCAGGACCCAGGAATCATGACCTGAGCCAAAGGCAGATATCTGAGCCACCCAGGTGCCTCAAAGAGTGGTATTTTAAAAACTTAGGCCATTATAGGGCGCCTGGGTGGCTCAGTTGGTTAAGCGACTGCCTTCGGCTCAGGTCATGATCCTGGAGTCCCGGGATCAAGTCCTGCATCAGGCTCCCTGCTTGGCGGGGAGTCTGCTTCTCCCTCTGACCCTCCTCCCTCTCATGCTCTCTGTCTCTCATTCT